CAGACAGGAATTTCATCGCATAAATTTATTTGCATCTTGAAGTCACATTGCCTATTTTTCTGAGGTTGGTACGAATTAATTAATTTACACAGTGTTTCTTTATGTTCCACATTCGAAATAGGTGATAAATCAATCTCGTTGACAGAAATAGCATTCACCAGATGTGAAAGGTAATTAAACTTCGAGTTACTTCTGCTTTCAGGGATTTTGTTTAGATTAACAGGGACACCAGGCAATTGGGAAAGATCATAAACATTCTTCAATGATATAGCAATATTCAAATTTCTGTAATGCAACAAATGTTAGCATTTCGAGATGACTCAGCAGTTATCAAGTTTACATTTCCAATGAGAAATTATTTGAAGGCCATTCTCGGTAAAAGAGAAGTTAAACTGATTCATTACATCCAAACCTAATACAATTTGATTACATAACAACTTGACCACATAAATTTTCGTACGAAGTGAAAAACTGTCAATTGAAATATCAGAAATAAAAAAACCAATGAGATGCATTTGCTTTGATTCAATTCCTTTTTAATGTGATATCACTAAGATTCAAATTTGGAGAGCCAATTTGCTTATGTAACTTCACGCTGCATATTGTAACATCTGAACCAGTGTCAACTAGACTATCAACTAAATGATTATTTATTTCTACAGTCTTTATAATTCTATTGTTATCAGAAATTTGAGCTAAAAATGCTTGTTTCTCGAGGTTCTGGGTTTGACAGTCAGTCGCTTTATGCCCAAACTTTTTACATTTAAAACATTTTATCCCATTCGAATTGTTTATACATTGAGAAGATGACCAAATTCCTCACAACTAAAAACATTTGAGTTTATTAACGTTAGATTGATTTCGGTTTGATGACGCAAGCTTACTTCTATCTTTAACTTGAGTGTCTACTTTCGGTTTCGGATTTTTAAACTTATCATTGTTCGATCTCATTTTATCATAAATTTTTAGCCTTTGTTTGAGTTCAGATACTGTTTCGCAACCATATAGTATAGTTTTCCTCACCACAGAATCGGGAATACCATCTATGACATATTTAATTAATGAAGCATCTTCAATGTTACCTCGCGAACGCATTTCTTTCATTTTCAAAAAATACTCATCTAAAGATTCATTAGGCATTAATTTATGCTTACATAACATTTCGTGCAATTCAGCTGAATTAAAAGCTTTACCAAATTCAGATTTCAAAAGCTTTTTTAACTTACACAAGTCATTAACTTTAGTTCACTCTGATTAAATAGTTTCGCTTTACCTTTTAATGGTCTTTTAGCAAAAACTAATTTATGCAAATCACTCAATTTCAAAGAATTTATGACATCTTTAAATTCATCAATCCATTTATCAACATTTTCATATGCATTACCAGAAAAAGGAATAACAATACTTTCAATATCAGAAAAAACTAAGATGAGGTTTAAAATGATCTTGAATTGGAAGCTGCATACTGTTATTTACTTGAGACTCATTAAAAACCAGGATTGTCTCTTTGATTATCATCAAGCATTACTTCAGAAATTTATTAATACAGTTTCATCTTCAATATCACTATTTTCTTCATGCAAAATATTTTCAAATAATACAGATAAATCACATAGAAAAGAGACAATTCGGGGTTACTACTTCCGTTTTCGAAAACCTCTGAATTTATGCACAGTACATTACAAACTTTAATTAACTTGTTCAAAGAAAAACTATTCTTCACTGCATCTATTTTCTTATTAAATTCTTCAGAATCTGGTTTAAATATAAAGCCAGAAAATTCACTTAATCTTTTCTGGTTATTTTGGTCTCCATCAGTATTAAAAATAAGCTTATGCAAACTTTTGATTTCAGAACTTTTACTGTTCTTTAAAGCTGCTTCCAATTCTGGAATTTCTATTAACCTCATTGGAAAGAAAGCTTTGTACCCACCCGAAAGATGATCGTCTTCAATTGGTAATCCAAAAAGTTAAACAGTAATCCAATAAATCCAACAACTTGTAAGAACAATCCAATAAATTCACAGTCAGTCAATACAGTTCAGAATACTATTCGCACACTTTTGACTTAAGAGTTCATTGAGTTCGCCCCACGTCGGGCGCCAAGTTCTGTAGAATTTACTTTCAAAACACATATGATAGAGCATGTCTATTGCATTATTAAATTCTTATTTTACTAATAAGAAATAGATAAAAGTAATAAAAAGGTAAGTTAAGTAAAAATTAATATTGCAGGTGATGTCATGATAGTTATACTCAGTCCACACAGGATTCATGTAATGATGAACATTTCTCACACACTATCTGTCCTACAGGCACGTAGACCCATGCCTTGAGAGAATATGTTTATCCTCTTAACATCCACAGCTAGCTTTAGATTATATGATCAGCTTGGCTACAAGGAACTTAAACATCGAAGGAAACCATCTGTTTTCACTAACTCTTGGAAAATATACAAGCCATCTGCTTGCCTCCGCTCCTCTCCACGTCAGGACGCTATCTGGCGTTGTCTCGACTGCTCTGCAATTTGCTAAGCTGGGATGACGTCACCTCGCTAGGTATTCGATAAGTCAGCATCGGTTGTTGATGATTTGTTTCTAAAACGTGACTTTAGAAGGAACAATTCGGGGAAGTGACCTTCCGTGAAATCGGATTACCATCTTCACTTGGTAAACAGGCTGAAAGCCAAACAAGAATCAGTTATCGCTCAGATTGGCGAAAGTGACATTTTCTTTCATGTGACGATTCCTTTTCCGTGCTGTATTTTGTGTCGCTCATACTCTTTTCGTTTTAAACTTTATTGTTAGTTATGGAAAATAATAGAAAAGTAATGGCTATTAAGTAAATCACTTTTATCTCAACTCTGGCGATTCTAAAAGCTAAAGAGAAAAAAACGTGCAAAGAGAAGTCCTATTCTTTGTAATGATCTGTTGTATATATTTGATTTTATTATTGTAAATAGTTATTTTGCTATCCATATATTTATTTAATAAATTTTATGTGCATGATATGATGCCATTTACTGATATTTGTTTTGTGATGAGTCAAAAAGTTTTATTTTATCTGCAAAATGTTAAATATTTCATAAAGGCTATTTGCTCAGTTTTTTTTTTTTTTTTTTTTTTTTTTTTTTTTTTTTTTTTTTTTTGTTAAAATTCCCAAGTACAGTTGCAAATGCAAAGGTCTGTAAGTGGGTGAATTTAAATGACTAGCCTAATGCACAAAATGCACTTCAATTATTTTTCAACTGTGTATTCCATATCCATGATAATGTGCAAAGAACTGATGACTACAGTTGCATAATCATTATATGAATTAGAAGTAACTTCAAATAAACTTTTTGGCAATGTTAATTTTTGCATTCATACATACATATATATATATATATATATATATACTCATATCTAATAAGTCATCTATTTACTTACCTACACATAGCGAGAGAGATGCGATGGTTTTAGAAGTTGTTGAGTATGTTTATTAGTATTAATGTTGAATAGATTTTTATTAATGAATGTATATACAAATGTTTTTCATCATCATAATAATAAATTTATAATTTCAAATGTTTCAATATGTAGCATTTATAATAAAAATATAGTTCTTAATGTGTTTATAATCTAAAAAGCATTTCATTAATAACATGAAAATAATAGCTTACAAATTTAATGTGTGTCCTCATTATTAAATAATCTGTTTTAATAAAGATACATAATTGCTGATTATGCAATTTCAATTTAAAAGTAATAAAAGTAATTAGCAGAAAAGTAAAGTCACGCATATACAAACATATTTTAAAAAATTATTCCCCTTAATGAAAAAAAAATTTGTTATATAACAATAACATTCTTTTCACACAATCAGCCTGAAATACGACAAATTTGGCGAACTTTTGGCGACGAATAATTTGTAAACAAATCATCAGAAATAGCATGTCATAAAATATTCTCTACTCTGAAATTTCCACCATTATAATTTAATGAATATATAAACATTTAAAAATGACTTAGACAGTTATACTACAACAAAACAGCAATATATATATATATATATACGGCCTTTTCTGTATTTATTCAATTAAATCAGCATCTATTTCCACCGTCCATGATTTCACAATGAGAGCCATCGCCATATTGAAAATTACCCTTGATCCTTCAGAAACAGATCTTTCGTCTGATTGGTTGAATATATGCGGAACACATCTCCAGATGGAACATTTTTGGAAAGGTTTCAAAATGTTGCTCATAGCCGGGAATGTTGCACCTAGCTAGATGAAACATTTCTCTGAAGCCTCCCGTATAAACCAGTGCTACTAGAATCTCGTTTCTCAGAAATGTCCCACCTAGCCGCGCACGTCGATAGAAGTGATAAGGTTTAAGTATATGTCAAAAACAGAAACATCTGTCATGGGGAAGCAGAAGTGTGAGTGTAATTATATTGAAGATTGACTTTGGCCATTGAGACTTCAATCTAGTTTAAAGTTTCATCACTATAGGATGAAAAATGCACAGACAAGGAAGCACCTGCTAAACATTAGTGGCAAGCTCATGTTTAAAATGCAGATGAATTGCTTTGTTTTATTAAGATATATCTTGAGAGCGACTCTGACTACTCAGGCTGCAGAATCACCAATAGATTATAAAGCATCAAATGATTGTGTTATGCTGAGCCCTTTGTAAAGACTCTGCAATGCAAATTATTGGTCCAGAGCAAAAACATTAATCTTCTAAACTTTCAAATTGATAACTCAGTACCCTGTGGTTTATCTAAAAATAATAAATAAATGAATAATACAAATAAATAAACAAAAAGTGGAGATAATGATTAATGTTACATAGGGCTAGTTTGAGATTCTTTTATTCAAAACTCACTCAGACTTGTTTAGTGGGCATCACAATATCCTGATAGAATTTCGTGACATATTACCATGTCATATGCAGATTGAAACCTGCACCCATAAGGTAATATGTTTTAACTATGCATTGTTTCTATTCACATTAGGTTCCATTGCAGCAGCTATCACAACTCCTCTTGATGTTGCTAAAACAAGAATAATGCTTGCTCAGGTAATTTTCATTTTTGTACTTTTTTGTCCGGTTTTAAAATAAAATAGGAGACATAAATTATTAAAATTTAGTATTACTATAATTTTATTCCAAAATTTCTGTTGTATTATTGTTTTTTTTAAAGAAATTATTTTAAAGTACAGATATCTTGATTATGTACACTATGCAACTCGGTTCAGATCATTATCATACTGTTAGTTAAGATGAAATTGCGGTCAGATAGAAAGGCTGTAGTAATTGTGTCTGATCTTAAAGCATTGTAAAAGTTTTCTGTATTGTGAAACATTTTAAAAATGGTAATACAAGTTTTGTACTATTATTTCAAGTTCATACAGCTTTCTTAAAAAAAGATAATTAAAAATTTTCTGTTTTAGAATGATATTGTTTTTCAAAATTTCCAGTTTCTTTTTATGTTTGACTTAGAATCAGTGATTTAAAAACCAAAAAGGAGTTATTACAGTAATTTTGTAACAATATAGTATTTTTTTCAAACGTTTTTATTGATGTTATGAAGGCAACTCACTTAATAAAAGCATTTTCTCATACAGAAAGGTACTATGGCATCTGAAGGTTATATTATACCTGTACTCAGGGATGTATGGAGAGAAAAAGGATTTCATGGGTAAGCATGCTTTGAAATGTAAATTTGAGTAGCATTTATATTTTATTTCTGAGGACAATATGTATCTTTTACTTTTCAATTTTATTAGAAATATTGTCATCTCCTGCCATATAACTCCATAATTGTATTAAGAGCAATATTACTTTTATAAATTACTATCATATTCATTTCTTCCCTATTAATTATTTATTAAAAGTATGATTGTTGCAGTGTTTCTTCTAACATAACATACATATGAATATATTTAGATACTACCATGCTGTAATAATTTAATTATTCTGTTGAATTTTATGTGAAGGAGATATACAGTACAAACATAGTAATACAAATACAGTACGAAGTCCGTAATTCGTACATCCGTTATCTGGAATAATCTATTATCCGGACCTCAAAACCACAAACTTTTTTTGGTATGCTTTATGCATGCACGTAATGCGTTTACGCATGCGTGTTTAATGTTACACATGCACCTTTAAAGTTACGCATGCACGTTTAGTACAAGCAATGAAGCAAACAACTTATATTGAAAGAAATGTTTAATAAAGTAAACAAATAAATATTAAGCTTTTTTTTTTTTTTTTTTAAAGTTTTGATACCCTTTAGATCATAATTGCTCTTTATTTCATAAATTACGGTTTAATATTTTAAATTATATAATTTCTGCATGCCATTTTAGCAGATTTTAATTGAAAATCTATAATCCGGAAAAACCCCTCATCCAGAATCGCCGAAGTCCCGACGAGTCCAGATTATGAACTTTGTACTGTGTAAAGTAACCTGAGTGTCCCAGTGTATAAAAGCCCACCAGCGGCCGAGTGGTAAAGTCGCTGAACACTGGTAGTTCGGTCTGAGGTTCGAATCCCACAAACGGGCTGGCTGCATGGGTGTTTTCGTGGTTTTCCTCATGTGTAATGTGTATATGAGCCAGTTTCCCTTAGAAAGTCCTCCACGAAGGCATCCCTTCCCTTAGGCAGCTAGCCCTCGAGGCTTTGCCTTTATTAAATAACCTAACCTAACCCAGTACATAAAAGAACATTAATACTGAATGTAAACTTTCTTGGGCAACTATCTCTTCAGAAGGTCAAAATTGTCTGGAAATAAAGTAGTCAACGTACAAGGAAATCAGCCAGCTTTGAATCCTATATGAGTATGTGCAGGGTGATTAGAATTAAAATTCCACTTTTCAAGGGTTGTAAAAAAAAGAAACATTGATCAAACTGACCCCAAACTAAACTGAATATGTGTGAAGCAGTGGCAATTTATCTGGTATCTTGCTCGGTCATTAAGGAAGAAAGTATATGGTGGAGAGTAATCCAAGGACCAGCATATGTGCCATTTCCTGTCAATTAAGGATGTCTCGTACCAGTGTCCAGTGTGTCTTGAACACCGAGTCCTTTTACGTCTTTCATCTCCAGATAGTTCAGTTACTGCTCCCCGATGACCATCCTGAACGTGTGCACTTCGCACAGCATTTTTTGCAAGAAAGTGCATGTGATGTTCATTTCCCAGCTTATGTCTTGTTCACGGATTAGACCACGTTCAATAGCGACGGCGTATTCAGTCACTACAATAAGCATTTATGGGCTAAAAAAAAACACCACAGTGTGCGGCACCAGACATAAATAGCTTTAAAGCTAATGCATAGGCCGGTTTGGTTGACGACTGCTTAGCGGGCATACCTTTTACATCTTTGATGCCTGAATTGTTTCTGCTGTTCTTTACTTGCTGATGATGTTCCCCAATGTGAGTCACAGTGGTCCAACCATAGACCTGTTATATACTAGACAGAGCATCGCCATTCAAAATCGGGTGAAAAAGCGGCACAGGAATGAGCTGCAGGAGTTTGGGCATGAAATGGAACTGAACCCAGACTTTGGCGTACTATCGCCATGGCTGGCGATTTTTTTCCCCTCTTTTCTCTCAGTTCGAAATGCGAACTTGGAAAGATGTCATTTCGCAGAAGCTGCCGTTGAATTTGCAGAAGAGGTTAGATCGATAAACACCAGCCAAAATTAATAATTTCCCTAAAATTGGACACTTTATTTTAAAATTTAAGCCAGACAAATAGTCATACTAGCTTAGCAGCACAAAGGTAGACAAAGAGAAAAAAGACAAAAACAGAATGAGACGAAGCAGTGTACAATAAATACAACATATCGGAAAAATGGTAATAGGAATAAATAAAGTACAAATAAAATAAATATAAAAAAAGAGTTTTTTTCATTTAAAAATAAATAAATAAATAAAAAGTGATTTAGGCAAAGTATTAATACATACTAAAGATAGTGGATGAAAAATAAAATAATTAAAAAATTTAAAAATAAATAAATTCATATATATATATACTTATTGTAATGCATAAACAAGGAGCAAAGATAATTTAAGAAATGATTTTGAGTGAAAAAGAGATTAAAATAAAACAGGAAGATTATAAGCCTAAAAGGAAAAAAAGGGCCAGGAAAAAATAAATAAATAAAAAAGAAGGTTTTTTTAGTACTTAGGACAGAATAAAAATAAAAAAAAAAAATAGATAACATAAGAAAAATGAGTGAAAACAGAAAATAGTACAAAAAGGAAATTTAATATTTATACGAAAAGGAAATTTAATGTTAATACGGTGTAATACAGAGAACTGCAGAGTAGGCAAATCAAAGTGAGAAAGATATTAAATTAAATGAACTAAAAATGAATGTCAATATAGCAGATATAAGTTAAAAGGAAGAGAGAGAGAGAGAGGTAAATAATTAAATTATGAAACAAAAAAGTGGTAAATTAAGACTTCCTTTTACTAGCAAATATATATATATATATATATATATATATTATGCACGTTGCACAAATAGTTCGCACTTATTTTAAATAATTTTAGAAGGTTAAATTTAAATAATTTTCATTATTTTTAAAAAGAAACTTAAAACTATTATAGTTTTGAAATTTAACTGCTATATAATTACTATTTTCTTAATACTTAACAAATTCTTAATATTTGAATAAATGCCAGAAACATGATACAGTCAAAAGTTGTTAATTTGGACACCCATAATCCGGAATGATCTATAATACAAACCTCAAAGCTACAAACTTTCTGTGCATGCGTCGCATTGACGCATGCGCATAGGACCTTTACGGCTGTGAATACACGTGTGCGCATGCGCAAAATACGTTTACGAATGCACATTTAATGTGTAACGGGCGGTATAAGTTAAGCTAAAATTATCTAATTCAGTTAATGTTGCAGATTGCATTGTTCCTTAATCTTCAAATTGGATTCGGCTTATTATTTTTTGCAGACTGTTAGAGCAATTTTATAAAAGTAAGCTTGAACTTTCGATTATGTCAAATAGATTTTCTGATATATATTTACTAATATGTAAAGGATCTACAAAGCGAAAGTATGTTTCGAAGTCCATTAAACAAAAAGTGGAATTGCTGCAAAAAATGGATAAAGGCATATCCTTTGTTTATCTTTAACGCCGCAGCGCCGCGCAATGAATTGGAAGTTAATCTGTCAGCACTATCCTTATCTTCAGGGCAGATGTTTTTATTTTATTTGGCTTATAATTCCATACTAAATGTAGTATTTCATCTCGATGTACTCCATCTTTGATATGATTTAAATCAAATTCCTCGTCATTATAATTCGCTTCCGATAGCGAAGAAAGTGACAGAGATTATTGAAAACGAAAAAATTTCGATTGACAAATTAGTCGGTATTTTCGACACAGCAGTTATAGGGCTTGAACAGCGGAACTTTGTAACTGAACAAAAAATTATGTCTGTTTATAGAATTAAAGAGAATGTATTATCACATAAAAAACGAAGTAACTTAGACAACTTACATTGAAAGAAATGTTTAATAAAGTAAACCAATAAATATTAAGCTTTTTTTTTTGTAAATTTTGATACCCTTTAGATCATAATTGTTCTTTATTTCATAAATTATGGTTTCATATTTTTAATTTTGTAATTTATGCATGCCATCCTACCAGATTTAAACTGATGATCTATAATCCGGAAAAATCGATAATCTGGAATCGCCGAAGTCCCGACGAGTCCGGATTAACAACTTTTGACTGTATAAGAAAGAAAATACGTGATAGAAAGTAAACATATTTGTTATATTTGGATGCAAGAAAAGGGATAAAATAAAGTCATTCATGTACCCCCCCCCCAAAAAAAACATAATTTTATGCAGTTCTTACACAGTGTTACATGAACATTACCAAGTATTAAATACATACATTACTACTTCGCACATGTCCGCATAAGCAAACGCATACAAAGAATATATAAACAAACGCATTCAAAGCAGTCTGTTGGCGTATAAAAAATGTCGCCAAAGCAGAATACTAGACTAATTAAAATTATATTATATATTACTAAAATTTTAACATTTTTTTCAGAACACAGTTATTAGAAACATACATATATATTAAGATACTTTTATTTAAATGTTATTTCAAGTATGCGTATATTATATAAAATTAGAAAATCTATTTTTATTAGAAAATGGCAAGTAGAGTGGATAAAAAATCCTCTACATTTTATAAAATTAGGTTTTAAAACATTAGAAAAAGCTCTCCTGTGAAATGATACTCCTCCACCTTTCACATATCTGGAATTACATCCATATGCAGAGCACGAAAGAACCATTTTTGAAATCCGAAACAATGCGCGTACACGCAAAACACTTTCTTCTCACAAATTCTCCATAGAACTGTAATGGTAAGGAAGATCCGCGGGAATACGATCTGGGAAATGTTCCAAATGTCACGTGGTTCGCATTCCTATTCCCCTTCAGGGTTGCTATTTCTCTCTCTAGTACATCTCTAGTACAGATCTATAGTTATAACATGAGGCTCATTTTGGACTGGGTGTCCGTAGCCATTTGAACAAATAATTCCTGCATCAATGGATTGGGCATGGGGGACCGATTCCCTGCCCGCCAGTCTCACCGGATTTATCAAACCTTGATTTCTTTTTGTTGGGAGCCATCAAAA